CTTTGATATTTTACTACGTCGCTGTGAAATACATTGTTATAAGATGTTACTCTTATAGTTAATCATTGAATTTTGTAGCTGAAACATGTTAATTAATTTTATTGTAGTGTCATTATGTAGATGAACGGCTTTAATTACCTAAGTTTGAGATTCGCATGTGACGAAGTATCAAGCACCGCGTGGCAAGCAAGAAGTTATGGCGATCAGCGACCAACTTCAAACGACACACTCAAATTATCAAAAAGGAGCAGATCGGCTTCAATACAAACCTCGTCTAGAACCAAATAGCGTGGGTTTTCAAGGCTGCACAGCCAAATAATCAAGTCTGGTAAAATATCAACAAACACAATTCTAAAAGTCCAGCTTCGCACAGTCTCAGAAGATGTCGAAGGGTAAAACCTACACTGCAGACGTTACAAACATTAACACATATTATTACTCGAGATCTGAACCAATTATTCTGGGCCAAGGATAATGATGATCCTCATCAAACTGAAACGTCGCAACCAATTACAGAGCATACGTTCACAATTGGTCACGTCAAAAGGTCGAATACCAAAATAAGCTGAATTGCGTGACTAATTTTGAAGTACAAAGAAAGGTCATTAATGTCACGCTAGTCACGAGAGGTTCGAGCACATATGTTCAACCGTCTTTCGATGCACATATATAGACTTGCGAAACTAGGATATATGGTTTGAGTGTAACAATATAAATCAGTGATTTACACTTGAAAAAAAGTGGACAACATTTTTTTATATTATGGAGAATGTTGTCTACAAACTAAAACCTGACACGTGTACGGAGATAGGTACACACTTCTACCCAACGCGGATGTATTTATCCCGTTTGTTTTATTGAAACGATACATTGCCCCACAAAGATCTCATGCCAGGTGTGAAATCATAGAAGGCAGTTTCCTACGCTTATAATTCACAAAAAATCTTGTGAACAAGTCTATTTTGAGACGAGAGACTAATACTATAGAGGAGAATAGGCCGCAAGGCGTGTGACCAATTAAAAGGAGCGGAATTGACTTGTCTCGGAGACTAGAAATCGACATTTAGACAGAACTTTTTGTTATAATAAAATTGCAATTCACTGAGGACGTTTCCTCAAAGAAGTACGTTTTTAAAGAGCATGCGTCCAAATATACGACGCATCTTGTCTTTCAAAATAGTCGTCAGTCTCATAACACAATCTATTATTTACCATTCTTTCGTAATCAACAGCTTCAAGATAATATCTTCAATTCTTAATTACAATTAACAGTCATCGCATGAAATTCCGCGCCGATGATCTACCTTCTTATGATTAATACTGAAGCATTGTAAATGATGTTTTTTAGATCGACGACACCTAAAGTTCACCCTTCTAGCATATTCAAAAGCGTATCATGCTGTTTTTGTAAATGCTTTGTGAAATCCTAAACATTGCTTCAATTTTTTCCCAGCATCTGGTGCGGTTTCCTTCATCAAAGTGCGAACACCGATGTCGAGACCATTGTCGCTTCCACTTGTCCGTACTTAAGTGATTCAGCCAGAACCTTTAATAATCGCATAGTTATTGTAGATCTTCCATGCTTTCACCACGCATGTTTGAGTGATCAAGTGAAGGAAAGAGCCGTATGCATCTAGAAAGTATGGGCAAAAAGAAATTTGTCGCGATCACAGGTATAAATGGATGTGTCACATGTTATTTCTAATATATATAAATATGCGGCTGCTCGCTGCTTTTGTTAGAGAACGGCTTACTTTTCTGTAGTCTTTAACCGTTCAGGGACAGAAGTTGATCGGTCGAACAGAGAAACTCACAAGACTCGCGCGATATTTGTTATTCCATTAGGGTTTTTCCACAAACTGGAAAGTAAAATCTTAGCTTCTTTGTGTTACTCTGATACCCCATGATTTTCTTTACAAGGCCATGTGTTTTTCGTGAATATATATTTTTGTGTACGATAGAAATCCTGAGTGCGCAACGCAATCTTTTTTTTTGCTTCTATAGTCATCTATGATAACCATTCAAGAAACCAATTAAAGGGTCTAAATTCTCGATGTTTGGGCTATCGAACGACTAGTAAGAGTTTGGCGAAGAGCCATATACAAGCCCCAGCCGAGCAAATAAACAAAAGTGAGCGTGAAAGGTAATTTCATTTTGGCTGCAACGTAATACAATAGCTTTTTAAAAACCAAACGTATTGTTGAAATCGTACAAATTCAAGCTTTCGAATGATTGCCAAGTGTCTGAGAGAAAAGTCTTGTCCAGCGAGAAAGGCTTTCTAACAATTGTGTACCTCCCCTGGAACACGTCGTCCCTTAAAGGCAATCACACGAGACTTCTATTGGTTGAGATATAGGTCGAATTGGGAATGTGGATGGTATAATATACGGGCTATCATAACTTTCGATTCATATTATTGTATAAATCCACAGTGGGTCTATCCAATTGTAACGAAATTGGCCGGTTTGAGTTATACGTAATTCCTCGTGTAATCTGTCGAAAATCAGGCATCGTTGGTAACGCACTCCACTGTTTGTTATCACTGTCAAGGATATCAGCGCCTGGACTGCTTCACGACGAGGTAGTGATGGTGGAGTTATTAGTGATGAAGGTTATCAAGAAGCAAAGGCCTGGTTCGACTCCCTAGCTCCATACCCGCTCGCAATCATGTGGGAACGCCTATGTTCGGCTACCTCCAAGGTTTCCAAGAGAATTGTCTTGGAGAGTTTTCTATAACATTCATAAGACAGCCATCTCATGGACTAATTTCAAACCTCATTATGAACATTCAATATAGTCTGCGAGAATGTTCAACCACCTGACTTCCGCGGACCCTAACTGGGCGTGTCCGCCAGGGTGGGAACGATCCCAACCTCCTCTGCTCCGATAGTCGCCGACTACAGTTCTACTTTTCGTCACAAGACCTCACGCGAATCAGTCCAAAACTTGACTGCGGGTTTTGTAACGAAAAGCACTGGTGTAGACGGCGACTAATCGGGGCAGAGGAGGTGGAGTCGTTCCTACGCTGGCTAACTCACCCAGTTAGGGTCCGCGGAAATCAACTGGTTGAAGCCTTTCAGAGGTTGGTACGTCAATGGCATACGCACGTTTCGGCGGTGTCGCCCGCTTCATCAGTGCCACACGCCCCAGCCTGAACCCGGGCGATACAGCTCAAACGTACGTATGTCACTGACCTAGTAACCTCGAAAAGGCTTTAAGCATTCTCACGGACTATATTCTTCACAGAGACGAAATCCTCAAGCAGTAGCCGAAACAAACACGCGATTCGCTCGAAGACCTTTGTGGAGAATGGCGATCTGCACAATGGATTTGAACACGAACGTGTTCACGACATGCTCTAGCGCAAAATCCTGCTTTACGGCCATTAGAACGACCTTCAATCACATGTAGTTGTTGTGCGTTCGCCACGCGTCCGCCAATGTTCGAGGGTTTCAACTCTTCTCCTTTTTTCTAAGAGCTCTTAACTTTCAAATCATTTGTAATACTGGGTGATATGGCAAATTTTGAACCTCGGTAGCACAGTGGTTAGTGCGCGCCCCAGCTTGGGTAGGACGTGGGTTCGACCCCGGCCGGGCAGAAAGTTATGCATACCACTCGGCCTCCTTTAATGTATGATTTTAACATCGTTACACTGTTACAAGAGCGGTAAAGTAGATAATTCTTGAAAGTTAAGCGATTTCATTCCATTTCTCGTTTCGTCGTCGGTTACTGCCAATCGATATCGATCCGAGACAGCTGTGCGGATCACATGAACTGGATGTTTTCGTGATTGTAGCTAGTAGACCAACTTTCCTTCAGCTTCGACATCACCGATCATTCACGTGCTCTCTGCTGATTGACCCTGTAGGCATCTCACAGTGCTGCTCGCAAGAGGCGCGCGGTTTCCGTCATTTAATTGAATCCCCCCCCCCCCCCTCTTTTTTGAAGAGTAAAATCTCGGGTTTTTTGTGTTGTAGTCCTGATACTCCACGGTTTTCTCTATATGGTCATACGTTTTTCGTGCATATATGACTTTTCTGTACGATCAAAACTTCGAGTGCGAAACGTATTCTTTTTTTGCTATTACAGCGTTCTGTGATAACCTTTCAAAAAACCAACTGCAGCATCGAAATCCTCGATATTTGGGCTATCGAATGACTAGCAAGAGTTTTGTGAAGAGCTTATATACATGTCGCAATCGAACAGATGAAGCAATCTGAGTGTGAAAATAATTTTATTTTCGCTTTTACAACGGAATAAAAGGTCTTTTTCGAAAGTCAAGCATATCGTTGGAATCGCAGAGATTTAAGCTTTCGAATGATTGCAAAGTGTCTAAGGGAATAGTTTTGTCCGGTGAGAGAAATGCCTTCAAACAATTGTGTACCTCATCTGGTACACGTCGTGCCTTCGGGATTAAGCCAGTATCACGTGACGATTCAAAATCTGACTTTCATTAGACCGCGGCATGAATATTGGGAGCTATCTTACTTTGAGTTCTTTTTGTTTCTGCAAAGAAAAACGAGAAAAAGGCAAAAAACTGACCCCTGTGTTTCTTTAGAAACAGGGACTAGTCGGCTGACATTTCGATGTTTTTTTTATATAAGTAACCCTTTAACTCTGTGAATTTGCAGCTTTCTGGTGGTGGTGTGATGTTGAAATATTCATCTAAAAAATTATTTAACCTCAGGCGGGAGTCGAACCTCGTATCACCTTTGTCGGGAGCGCATGCTACCTTCAGCACCATCGTCGCTGCACCATCAAGGCCACCGCTTTGCGACCACTCTTTTTTCGATATGAACAGTTGAAGGTGTCAGAAACCAACGCCCAACGAACTTGGTGTGGTAAGCAATGTAGGCATCAAACCCAATTAAGCCAACAACTTCTTTCCATTTGTGTAATCTAAATTTCTTCTATTCGGCTGCTTCCTAGCAGTGGTGTGATGTTCAAAGACTCATCTAAGAAGATTGAGTGGGTGCGCAGCCCGCAAAAGTTTGACCTCTGGCTTGGTGGTGTAGTGGTAGCACGCGCCCCGTTAGGCGTGACATGCGGGTTCAGCTCCCGCTTGAGGTCTAGTTATTGTATTCCTATATGTTTTCATGCGCCTGATGGTTTTTTTAACGGTTTTTCCTTATTATTTGAAATAGTTAGGTCTCGTGGGACGTAATAATTTTGATCCAGCTCAGGAATTCCCCTGCTTAAATCGTTCTGAATGTTTCTGTATGCTTTACTATGTCGTTGTGAGCGAATCTGCGTAGATGCTAGTACTTTGTTTTACTATAGTTTTGATCCGTCGAGGCTTTTGGTGAATTAACTTGACACCTCTCTTGAGTGATAGCAGAATAAAAGCCTCCGTAGTTTTGTGTTAGTGCTGTGGATAGTACGCACTCCAGAAAGGCTGAGGTTCGGGTTCAACTCCCGCCATAGGCTCAGAGTTCTGCACATCGCTCAGCATCAATGAATTGATAGCTATGATACCGTATCTCTGCTAGAAAAGCCGTTAACTGATAGAATTCTTAGCTATCGATATTCCCATTTACTATAATTCCATGCAGTTGTTGTTCTGAACACCATTGTTTGTTTTATTGATAGTTATTTTTGTTTTCGACTATAGCCTAGTTCTTAAGAAGGTCTACAGTCCAAGATCACGAAATCTTCTAGTGACCTTTCTAGGAATGTCGTACAGTAGCCGAGCTGTCCCGGCCGTCCGTGCTGGTGTGATACGTTCGATCCAGAGAAACTCTTCTGGAGGATATTATTCATCACATAACTTCGACGGATTCAAGAAATCGATGACAACATCACTGAAAGAATCACATGGTTAGCTGTTTTTATTGCCTGATGTCATACTGTTTATCTTTGAAATTTAGTCTGGTAGAATGTTCCAAGCCTTTCGTAAGGTGTGGTATGGCATTGGATCGCCCTTATTTTTATTAGCAATCGTCGCCGAAGGTGTGTCATTGTAGGTCAAGTAATTTCACCGAAGTGATCACTTGACATGGCGTTCTTTCAGTGATTGATTGCCGATTGCATGGCTTAAGGCTGTTGCTAAGCATATGTAACGATACCTTTCAGTCGACTATTTGGAACCTCGTTTGAAAGGTCCAAAATAGTTTTGTTGGATATTTTAAGCGTTTCATGAGGTTTGATATGGCATCAGAGCGTCCCTATTATTATTAGCAATCGTTGCCCTTGCCGAAGATATATCATTGTACGTTCTTTCAGTTCTTTCAGTGATTGATCGCCGATCATGGCTTACGGCTGCTACTGGGCATATGTAACTATACCTTTCAATCGACTTCTTGAGACCTCGCTCAAATGATTCAGTATAGTGTGATAGAATGTTTTGAGCCTTTCATGAAGTTCAATATGGGACCTCAGGCGGTAGACATAATATCTCTCTTAAATGCCTGAGAGAATGTTTTAAGCCTTACCGAGGTTGATATGTCAGTGGCTTACATCTGTTTTGGTAATCAGTAACAGTTGTGAGCCGTCGACTAAAGTAATGGAGAGAGCCACAATTTCACGTGGTTGTAACTGAACATGTTTCCCCGTTCCTACTTTTAGTAGGGGGTGGCTAGTAGAGGCGTCCGGCTCTTATGGGGCGGGCGACACTGCCGAAATGTAAGTAAGCTAGTGGGACATTACCCTCGAAAACGTTCAAATCATTCTCGCAGGCCATTTTCAGTGGCGTATTATCATTATATTTTACACAGCCCATCGTCACAAATTACTGTGCTAATCGGAGTATAACGTGCCTTCGATTCGTTTCCTCGTCTTAGTCCTCCATAAAGCTTCTCGAACATCTCGCGTCTTGTTTTGACTGGTGCTTGTGGATCTTATTGAATGTCGTCGAATGGTGGTCGGACAAAGCTCCTGCAATCTAGGAGGGATTCGGCTAGGGCGTTCGTTGACTGGTTGCAATAGAATGTTGAAAATTAACTAGATCCAGCACCTTCCTTCCCGATGGCCTGCATCATTAACCACTCGGTCACTGTCTCCTATCTTCAAAAACTCATCTGTTTTCTTGTCTAAATTGTTTTTTTTTCTTTTTTGAAAGTGTCATACGGATTCCTTCCATTGCTAGCGGACTCGTTATTAAATGCAAGTATTAATACTTCTCCCTTTTTTGAATAAATCAAGTTATCTTTGTAAACAGGCAGTGTAAACCGTCCCACTCGATACGGGGAAACTAGAGCTCACATCTCAGGAGTGGGCTCCTCGAGAAGCAACGGGAATACTGTGTAGTTTATGCTTATACTAATCACTTGAGACTAAGAAACAAATATAGCTGTGAGCGCTTGGTCAGTACCTAAGGGGCGCGCCATGTATTCGACTTTATCCAGTATCGCATGAAGTGACTTAATTTTTATCGTGGCTTTCACAATGACTCGTGGTGGCCTATCGATCTATTGAGCTAGTGATGTTATCCTCCCAGACAAGTCTGTTACCAATCCACCTACTCCATTGAGATGGAAGGCTTAGTGAGCCGCGTGTGCGGTACTGAACATCGACCAAGTGCGTGTTGCGGAGCACGTCTAATCACTGCGTCACATGCGCTCAATATCCTAAACAGTGTTCCAATCATTATGCGTGATAAGCACGCTATTTGTCAAAATCATATAGAGTAGTGAATTCCAATCGAAGGTGGTCAATGTTGCCGAAGTGGAATAGTAGCTGGTCCGATCTTGGCTATTTGGGACTTTTAGACGTTATCAATATTATATTTTTTTATTTGTAGCGATTAACTACTGTCCATCGGTGTTTGTGCTGTTTCAATCCCTGAGTGTTTTGAATTTGTGAACATTATCGTTAGCTTTTATATATTACATATGGCAGCTTTTAGCGTTTCCATCAACAGCTTCATAAACTATACGAGCAGCCAACTGTTAGATGGATGTGCGATTAAAAGACAAGAACGATAATGTCTGATGGAATGTTCCAAGCCGTCCATACGTTCTAGTATGACACCTCGAGTGCAAGGCGTACGTTTCGGCCTTTCAGCAGCTATCATTGGTAGCACATGCCATTCGGCTGAATATCCCTACTGTTAAAGGGAATCGACACCGTACAAGTTACCCTCTGCGTAAAGTGAAATAATCTTTTAATGTTCCTACAGAGCGAGGTCTCAAAAAGTCGATTGGAAGGTGTTGTTATATGTGCCCATGTATTAACCGTACGCCACGTAGTCGACAGTCAATCATTCTGGAAGAACATCGAGTGATTATTTCACTTTATGCAGAGTGTCTTATACGACGGCGATTTCCTATAAATAGTAGGGGCAATCAGCTGAGTGACATGTGCTACTGAGGAGGCTTGCTAAAAATCCGAAACGTGCTTTAGCATTCGAGGTACCATACTAGACCTCATGAAAGGCTCAAAACACTCATGAGACCATATTGAATTTTCAAGCGAGATATCGAAAAAGTAGATTGGAAGGTATTGTTACAAAACCGTTTTTATCCAGTTGAAGCCTGAAATCATTATTCATGTTTATCATATTCGTTCCAGAAACAAAACAGACGTGGAAGAAGGTATTCTACTTCGCATCGCTTCCATGCCTCGCATTGGCAATGTATGGTGCCTACAAAGATCATTCAGAGCACATGAAACATGAGCGTCCTGAATATGTGGCTTATCCTTACCTCAATGTGAGAAACAAGGTCAGGCATGATGACTCCTGCTATATCATTAGTTTGGTTTTTTCGTGAATTATGGTCTATAATTTATTTACAGCCTTTTCCATGGGGAGATGGAAATCATACGCTGTTCCACAACCCATCTGAACAGTGGGTTCCTGGTGTCGGATACGAGGCAGAACGCAAAAAACACTAAGTATATTGTAGATTGTATCATTGCCATGCTTGATTTATAGATGCAGTGATGTATATTATCATTTATTAAGGGTAGTAAAGATGGGCGTGGTTCTTCGTTTTCTTTGTATCGGTCGGAAAATAAATAATGTAGTTACAGCTATTTATCACTTAAGCTATAAAGAGACACGTATATTAATGTGTGATGTTGCAGACATAAGGGAAAAATACATGGATAAATTTTGCATTTTTTCGAAATTCTACGATGTAAGTAGCATCCTTAGGTGCAGACACTCCATAGTATCCACTATAGTGGAAAAAAAATTCTGGAAAGTGATGGGAAATCGTGAACTGCTAGGCATAGTTTTTCGGGTGCTGCAGAAATATATTACTTTGAGGGATTGTTTGTTAATTTGCATTCACATATCACAATTCCTAAGATCATTTTTTTCATGCGCTTTCCTTCACATTCAGTCATATATTTGATGATGGTAGAAGGCACGTTTCATTGAATGAGACAGAAAAATTGGTTATGTTCGTAGAGACAACTGTGTTGGTGAAAAAGTAATTGCGACTTGAAAATGAAAATTGACGTTGAAACCGCACTTCGTTTTGAATTCTGCTGCAGATGGCGAGAATGACTTATGTTGAGTTCTTTTGCAACATCTCGTTTGGTCTTAAGTAGGTTAGTTTCGATGATTGTTTTTCTCATGACTTGTGATGAGGTTGATGCAAAACCAATTGCGGTTTATGCATTGTTTGAGTGTTTTTCCTTCACGAAACTGCTTAGACCACCACTACATAGTACGCACGTCCGTAGTTCTATGGGCGAATGCGTTGTCGATGTTGTGAGTTGTCTCTGCTCCCTTGCAACTAATTTTGAGCTCAGGGCCTGATGCCGCAATTATTCTTGCATCAGCCAGCACTCTTCGCGCGGTTTAAAATAATATTAAATAAGCAGTAAGTAGTACGTCATTAACAACAAAACACAAAGCGATAGACGGGCATTGAGTTGATGTGTAACATAAGCTAATTAATTCAGAATTATGTTCCAATATCAAACGGCGAGTTTTAACTATACATAAACCGCAATTTTTTTGATCAACTTGAGAGTATCCTACCACACGAGGCTGCGTATCTCATTTGTGAGCATCTCATACTTGGACAGTTATACCACCAAATAAGGAATACAGCTGGACACTTGATGCGTTTCAACGACAGCCGATGGACGAGAGCCGTTACCGATCGGATTCCTCGGAAT